GGGCTGGGTTTATAAGTAGCTGTCAGTCACTGAGCCTGCTGAAAGGTTGTTCCCCACACAAGCAAACATATGTATGTGTGCATGTGGGGGGACAATTTCAGTACGTTTAAAAACACATCACATTCGGAATGAGAGTTGGATTACACTTTCTAAATAGAAAGAACAGTTTCTGCGTAATATTTACATAAGACATCATTTCATTCCCGACCATGAATAGACTCCTCTTTTTTAAATGACGAGTTTCATTTTAGTACGTTCCTTGTTAAGATTTGTTTTCACCACAGGAAGGAGGCTTTGTTTCTCACCAAGGAGCCAGGTTTCAGCCAAATCATTACCATGAGCCCAGGGAAGGCCAGGGATTGGTGTCTTTTCTTTGTTGCTGAGATTGTTCTACGTGTCATATGAGGGGTCGCCTGCTGGAGAGGGTCCAGTCTGATGTAATGACAGGGAACAGGGCTTAGGCAATTCCTCTGACTGAGGTAACAAACGTGGCACAAAGTATTCAATCAGTGAGGACACAGGCAGGGGTGGCCATGAAGGAGAGACTGGAGGCAGAGGGGAGGACATCAGTATACACAGACTGCACAGCTGTCACCTCATCTTTGAAGAAAGTCTGGTTTCTTAACCTGGAGTCATCACCACCCAAAACTTTCAGTGTTATCTCAGGTTTGTATCTTCCTAAAGGAACTGAAAATTTTCAAAACAGGACTATATTTCATGGTTCTTGACTAGGGGAGGGAGGGCCTTGTCAGCTCAAATGGTACAACTTCATTGAAATTATATATGTATAATATTATATAAAAATATTAATATATTATATGTATTATAAATTATATATGTGTATGTGTATATACATAATAATGATTAAATAAAAAAGAACCTACAAATTTAAAAGGGAGTAAACAAGGATGGATATAAGGTGGAGTTTGAGGGAGGAAAGGGTAGGAGAAGAAATGACATAATTACAATTTCAAATATTTTTTAAATGAAGGAAAACCTGTCTACAGATGTTAGCATGTTTTAGCAAGGTGGAAAATGTAATACTGTGAATGTTAACTGAAACCCAAAGTGCATTCAATATTCTAACTTCTCTTTCTAAAATAAATACACCACTTCCACAAAGAAAGGAAATGCATGTCCACTATACGCAGATATTTAAAACCTTAGTCTATTGACAATTTAAGTCAATAAATTATTTTATTGGAAAGAAAGAGATCTCGTTGGAAAGCTGGGGAAAGTGAAGTGCTACTGTAGTCAGAATATACATTTTAATTCTTTTGGTTCTGTGGGGCACGTGGTACTGTGATCAAAGATATCAAGGCTGTCTTGGGCTTTGTACACATCAGTATACACACTGCACACATACTGAAACTAGCTTTTCAGAAATGATTGAGAGATTCCAGGTGAGATATAGTTTTACATAGATAGACATACGTGGATATGCAGTTTTCCAGAGTAGTAGTGGAGTGACAGGCTTTATAAAGTACTTTCTAAAATAAATGTTAAAAACAGGTTGACAGTTCTTCCTTTCTGCTCTGGGTTCAGTCATCCAGGAGCACCTACTCACTGAGCATCACAGCTAATCACCATTTAA